TGCGCTAGATGCTTAAAACCATCAATTTTACTTCTGGAAAGAGTCGTTAGCAGCTTTATATACGCCCAATAAGAAAATAAAGAATTACTTTCAACTACTTGTTCGTTGAAATACACCACCACTGTTTTAAAAAGTGTTTGTGATAAACCATTGGCGACAGTCACTTTTTTGCCCGAATCTATTGCGGCGTCAGCTTCTGTTAATTCTATGCCCACTTCTAGGGCTAGGGAAGACATATCCAGGAAATGACCAGGAATGCCAGGGATTCTAAATTCGATATAGGAGTCCTTAAATTTATTAATTCCTAAATTAACAGGTAAAATATCAATATTTTTCCTGCTGGCTATAGTGGACTCAATCATACGTGCTGAATTAAGTTTGGGAAATCCATCTGTTACAGCCACTGTGTAACTTTCCAAAGGGGATTGTAGCCCCGCTCCTAGTGTAGTAGTATTATTCATGCTGGATGCTATGAGAGGAATGAATTGTAATTTATGCAAACACGTCATTATATATCTTATTCTTCTTATTCTGTTTTGTGAAACTGCGAATAAGTGCTAATTTGGTGGCCTTAGCCTTTCTCTTAGACTTTTTCCGCCTTTTACCACCACCTAAAATCTGACGGCCAACTCCCTTCAATGATTCGATCCCATGCTTCTTCATTGACTTTTTAAAGGAATGTTCGCCTGTTTGCATGTCTTGCAATACATTCTGACCCATATTTAAGACGGCAGGAGCGAGGGTTCTCATTAAAAATGGGGCTGCTTTACGGGCTAAACCAGTGAGGAAACTGAATATACCACCTCCTCTTATATGACTCCTATTGAATATTCTAATATCACTCAGCCCACCTCCTTTATATGAGGCAGGTGGGCTAATTAAGAATAATATTTCGTCTACAGACGGAGGGATGAAATTGACGCGCATTTTGTAGCTTGCAGGGAAGTAATGAGGCTCGGAACTGTAATGTCTTTATTATATAGACCCAATTCGGGGTCGTATATGTAAAACAGCTGTTGTGCTTCCTCGTTTATCAAAATAAATAGGAGTCCCATTAGGATCGGTTACTGCAATACTTATACTATCCAGTACATTTGTATTTAGAGGTTTATATAGTTTCCTATTCGTGCTTTCACCACCCTGCAAAGACACTACGTCCAATATATTCACTAATAAATTTCCGTACATCGTGGGTGCAATTTTATCGCAATAAACACACAAGTAATCCATCATGCCCCTGGGTTATGGAGGGTAGGGACACGTGTCTGATATGGGTGTTTCATCCAAATAATTCTTGTGTACGTATATATCATAATTTTTATGCTGTTCAGTTCCTAAAACCTTGCCAATACTCGCCCCAAAAGATAGGGAAATCCTGCATATTGCTCGATTATCGTCATAATACAATACATTCTCATCGCTGCTCGCGGTATTGAACTTTACTCTATTGGAAATCGTTCCATATTTAATATATGCATCAGCATATCTTGAGAAATGCGTCTTATAGACATCAGACACAAAACTCAAATCGTTCTGTGAAAATATATGGGTAATTTCATTATTGATGGCGTATATAATTTCCTTTATGCCACCAGCTAAAATATTAGTTTTCGGTAGAAATTTGGAATGTTTGTAACTAATTCCTTTAACATCTAGGTACATAATTCTCACACGGATATAACTCTCCAGATCATCTGATCTTATTATGTAATATGACGAAGGCAATAATATATTCTGGAGACACATTTCGTAGGAACGTCTAGAATCCAGTACAAGTTGATTATACAGTCTGTTTTCAAAAGCACTAGGTACATTATTAGGAAATAAATCTGTATTAGAAACACTAGTAGCGTCAATAACGTGGGAATCCATTGCTGGACTTTGAATGAATGAACTAAAAACAAAACAGAACATCTATTTATACACTCACCTTTACTAAGCTAGCCAAGTTGCTCCTCCGCCAACTTTAGGGCGTTTAGTTTCTCCAGCAGCTGTAGTAGGAGCATACACCCGTTTTCTTCTTAGTGCCACGTCATCATTAAATACTTGTTTACGAGATTCTGTATTCCTAAACATTTCTCGTGGAGTTGAGGTTAAAGAGATGAATAATTTAACCAGCGGTAATTTTTCTCGTGGGAATACAGAGCGGTGAATTGTCATTTTAGTTAAAATATCATCAATTATGTTTATTCCAGTCACTGGCATTTGAAGATTCCCATTGACGTCCCATTGCACCATCTTGCTTTCATCAAAATAATTCAACAGCGAAGTAGCATAATCATGATCTTTAGCTTTCAATTTTAAATGTACCAAATGTACTATTGAAGGATTAACTCGTACTGAAACTGGTGCTACTGGAGTACTTGCTGCTGGTGTTGGAGCTAGTGATGGCGTTACTTCTGATTTTTTTACTACTGGTACTTTAGCAGGGCCCTCATCGATGGATTTGCGAGGTACTAGATAATATTCTTTCATTTTTATTTATTAAATATCCTGGTAATTAAACTAGCAGCTATGGGTAATAATATACCGAGGATACTGCCTCCTTTACGAGTTAATAAAATACGCTTTTTGTTTGAAATTGAGGGTTTCTTGCAAGCCAGCGAATGCAAGGTGTCTCTGTATTTCTTCAATTTGACTATAACTTTCTTCTTAACCGGAAGCCTATTTTTCAGAAAATTGTTGAAAATCTCTGACAAGCAATGAATATGTGGTTTTTTAAACTGAGCAATCAATTTTTTCCTGGCTGAGGAATTAAGTTTGCTCAGCAAGGTCACCAACTCTCTGTACTTGTATACTAATGGCTTCTTCATATCTTCAACAAATCATCAGCGTCAATCCACTGATCAAATGAAGAATCGTAGCCTTCGTACCTTACTTTATACTGTAATTTATTATTAGGCAATGTACGTTTGCGTAGTACTTTCTCAATATTAAATGCAACTGGTAAATGGGTTAGGGTTAATTCTTCCTTGTAAAACCCTCCGCCAATAGGCTTGTTATTCAAATCTTGTAAAAAATATAATGGGATAGGCTGGCTTTTATCTATGCAAATAATTCTGAAAATTTCTTCCGTGTTTTGTCTAGCAAAACCTTTCTTGAATGTCGAAATTCTGTTGGAGAGAGTAATGCGAACTGTGTCCCCGACAGCTAGTAGAGAACTAAGACCTGCTTTAGGTTTGTCCTTACTTTTATACATAAGATTGAACTGTTTCTTTATATCTTGTGGACGAGATAAAGCATGGACATCAACTGGAGTCCGACCACCTAACCCTCGGTGGGGTGTTGTGTTATACGCCTTTATGATATCAGGCAATATGGGCAGATATCTCGAGGTATTGTGCGCAGTCATATATTTATAAATCTTAGTTTTCATGGTACGTATAAAGCGTTCGGCAATAGCAGCTTTTGTTTCTTGAGAAAATACGCTATACAGTTTAATATTTTTAGCTGCAAGCATTCGTTGCATATGAGAATTATAAAATTCACCTCCTCGATCTGTATTAATTTTACGTATTCCTTTGAAATATGAGGATTCCAATGTTTTTCAGAGCCTTACTCACAGTCTGTCCATCTTTGCGTATCAGAGGTGCTACTTGAGCATACCGTGAAAAAATATCGACACAGACGAGAATGTATTTAATATCATCATTGTGTTTGGCCAATAATCCCATTTCTGCTAAATCACATATACCAACCCCCCTAACCTCCCCTTGTGGTTGTTGTTGTTGTGGGGAACACATCTTATACACCCCACCCCCCTAACCTCCCCTTGTGGTTGTTGTTGTTGTGGGGAACACATCTTATACACCCCACCCCCCTAACCTCCCCTTGTGGTTGTTGTTGTTGTGGGGAACATCTTATACACCCTACCCCCCCTTGTGGTTGTTGTTTTCATATAGTACGTTCACCATTCGTATACAATTTCGTATGGATGCTCACCAACAACATTGCTACGGAAGGTGATGCGTTCAGGGGTTTTCACTCCTAAATCCACCAATAAATACCCATAAGGTTTACTAATGGCTTTCTTGTAGATATCCAAAAGCTTTTTAGAATCTTGTTTTCCAAATAACTGCAGCCCTAAAGTCTCAATTTGAGCTAAATCTCTAGATTTTACTAATATGAAATGGGAGGCGTTTAAACTTACACTTCTAACATATTTCCCAGAGAAAAATATATTTTGGGTAATTAATATACACGAAATAGCGAGATGTCTGCCTTTAGTGACGATATCAGACACAATTTTGGAATTGGCAGATTCGATGAACAAGTCATCAATAATGATTAAAATAGGCGAATCGTCTGTACGTTCATCTAAAGGGTTAATAATTTCAGAATGAGCTATTATTTTCTTGTTAATTACTGGATCGTCTAGCAATGCTTTATATCTGTCCCCACATATAATAATACTGGAGAATTTCAGATGGTATTTTTGTATGAGTTTAGTGCACAAATGAGATTTTCCGCCATTGGAAAATCCTGCAATGATTATTCTGCTAGGTTCATTGAAAATATCGAGTTGTTCTTCAGTGATAGGTGAACTATCCATGACTCGTGTTGGGTTTGTACTGACATAAGTATGATAAGGACATTATATTTAAACATGGGAGGTTTTATAAAAACATCAAAGTATACATTTCATATTTTTATATTTTTGCATAGAACATTTTCAAAACATAGGTAAGGGGGGGCAAGGTTTATAAAAACATCAGAGTATACATTTCACAATTTTTTTTTTTATATAGAACAGAACATTTTCAACATAGGTTAGGGGAGACTGCATTTTCAGAACATCAGTGATGAGTCAGGCGCCGGCATTTTTTCATACATCTATGACAGGTTAGGGGAGGTAGCAATTTTCAAATACAAATATAGGTTAGGGGAGGTTGCAATTTTCAAACACAAAAGATAGGTTAGCGGAGGTGGCAATTTTTTTTTCAAACACAAAGATAGGTTAGAGGAGGTCGCAAATTTTCTATTGCCAATTTCTTCAGTCACTAATTGTGAGGATACGTCTTGTTCACCAGTGCATCGCGTTTTCCCCACATATTGAATATGGGGCGAAATCTACGTCTTGCAGGACGTGCAGGTACATCATCATCCTTCTCATTCTCTTCTTCATGAATTTCTGCTCGAGGTATATCGGGGTGACCATACGCCAAAGACTGCGTAGGACTCAGTACATAACGTTTATCGTCAAAGGCGGATAATCCACGTTTTGTAGTGAGACAGGTACACATACGGCCTTTAACATTCCTAATAGATCTGGATTGGAACTTCTGCCCAATATTTAACTCTAAAGCACTTTGGAAAGCTGCATGAGTGAGTTTAGACTGATGATAAGTGAGAATTCCTTTACGACATATCTGAACCTGATCTTGAGTGAGAATTGAGTACATTTTAGGCTTCCATGCAATGAGCTCCTTGATAATTTTGGCTCCAACTTCCAATTTCAACAAACCCAGTTGACCTTTGCGAGAGTCATCGAAATAGGGATTTTCAGGAGGGAAATTGCTGAAATCTATATGCTGAGACAAAGGCAGTTTATTTAATTCCTCAAAAGCATTTAGACAGGTCAATTCAATCAAATACGAATCTGTGTCCGTATACAGCAATCTAGCTTTGTCTCCATAATGAACTTTGACGGTGTTGTACCAAAAATCAAATAGGATCCTCTTAGCTATTTGCAGGATCTGGAACCCCAGATAGGTTGGTGTATTGACTTTAAGGGATGTTTTTTGACTGTGCAAATGACTGTCTTCGCTCAACAAAATACATCGTTTGAAGAACGGATTACGTGCAAGCTTTTGGAATTTGTCTCGAGATGTAACTAAATAATGCTGATCACAATATTTACTCACATTTGTCAAACTCTTGGCGTAAATTGCATTTGATACCAGCTTGAAAGCTTTACCCTTAATGGCGCAAGGTGTATTTGTACGTTCACGAGCATTTGTTTCGACAAATTCCTTAAGGTACTTGCTTTGTCGGAATTCATAAACTGCATTTACCTTAGCTACTTCTAATCCCAATTTCATCAACATCTGCAATAAATCTAAACTGACCAAGTAATCTTTTTTGGGGAGATGTGAGGCAATTAAATTATTGTTTTTCTTGGGGAGTTTGCGATCTACGGTATTTAAAATGTGTTTGCTATAATCGGACAGAAGATCAGTAGAAATATTAGCATGCGACAGGGTTAAGGGTAAGTCATCGGTGTATCGAGCCACCTCAGGTGCTAGATGCTTGGTATCACACATGACCCAATACCCCTTATCCCCATCACAAGCAATATTTTCCAATCCCTGTTGGAACCAATCATCGCATTCGGCAGCAGATAATTTACGGATCCCGCCTTGAGGAAGCAGTTCTGTCATACAGGTGGCGTATAAGCCATTAAAATCTAAATACAGAATATATTTATCAGTGCTAGAAGGACCAGCACCCGTATGCTCATTTTGTACACTTGTGTGTTGTCGCACAACAGAGGTAAATCCGCCTCTTAGATTTCTGCGCAATACATCGTACAAATGGGGATCAGAAATAGAGTCCAAGACAACTTGACTCTTAAACAAGAAAGCGTCCCATGCAAAACTAGATAACGAGACATAGTGTGTAATGTCTAACTTGTACAGCTCAAGCATGGTCTTGCGCCATACAGTGAACACATCACACAATAGTCCAGTATCTACTTTCAAATAGACCTTCAAGTAATCCCCATTGGGCTTGCATTCCGCTAATCTAAAGACTTCTTTAGCCTGTGTATAATCGGTCTCGCTTATCGCCTCGTGTTTTAAACTATTGTAGAAGGCTTCGGGAGGAGGAAGAGCCGGTTCATTTAATTTCTCCAAAGATGTAATATAGTCATAGCAGAATACCTGTTTGCCTGTCTTTAATAAATGGTGGGCGGCTACATGGACGTCATCTAGCATAACTGAGGTGTAAGTGGTAGGTTTACCTTCCTTGATATGTTCTTTAGCTAGTTTTTCCAGCCCACCATTTAGTAAAGCCAGACTATCCATAAACCGAAGTTTACCGATATCCACTTTCATGAACTTAAATCCATCTTTGGAGGCAATATCAATTTCACGGTTAGGGAGGTTAGACAATTCATTTAAAATTACCCCGAGGTCATAAGCAGCATTGTGAGAGAATGTATACAAATATTTATAAGAATTTCTGCATAACATGTTACACCTGCCGCAATAGGCTGCAAGATAATTATTAAATTCAATAGCATGATCATGATGACGGTGCTTGTCCTTAGCCGATTTAAATGGCCTATAACACATTTCACATGTGGTTTGCCGTCTATAGGCTTGCCAATGTTCACGCGTCATAGATATTTTGTATTTAGGCATGGAAGATTTAATTCTCTTCCATGCCTTCTCCAAAGTATCTATGAAATGATTTACAGGGTCATCCCCCATATACGTTAATTTATCTACCACCTCCAATATCCTGTTGATGATGATAAAAGCATATGCCACGGCTTTGTGACGCTTCTCGATCACACCTTGGGGATTGGAGGGGTCCAACAAGCACTCGAAATCATAATATGCTGTGTGAGAAGGCCCATAGGCACGACCGTAATTTTTAAACTTGATTTTATGACCTTCAGGGTAAAATTTCAATGTTTGTTTAACTGCACATGACTCTTCGTGATCCTGCATCGCATCAGGTGACAAATGAATTAAACACGAATAACAGAAAATATGATTATTAGGTATTTTACTTGAATGATTACGCATGTTACGGACATATTGATTGAAATCTTTAATGAGCACAAGATGCTGATCCTCCAACATGAGCAATGGTACTTTAGCAGCGGAATGTTCTCTGCCTTTTCTAGCTAAGCTAATATAGTACCAGTTATCTTCACGAGTAAGTACATAGATAAATACACTTAATTTATTCATACTTTCAATTATATTTATGTTAACATACATTATGGGAATTTCTATATCTGCATTCCAACGGACAAATCTTAGACACCACCTAGCAGATTTGGAATATTTCTGGATATTATCTAAATGCATCCCCTGAGCTAGAGATATATAAGCTGCTAAACATTGGATCAAACAAGCATTTTGTTCGCCGTTAGGGTTGAAAATGAGCGTTTTGCCACGTAATTTATCTGGATAAGGCACGTATTCTCCTAGACGGATGGGATGCTGAACAGCTATGGAATTGATATAAAAACCAGAAATGCTCTGTATACCTACACTCGAACCTTCTGTCTCGGCAAAGAACTCTAACTTATTATCCAGTTCAGCAATTCAGTGATCTATGACAACACTGGCCTCATGCCTAGATACAGTGCGTTGCTCAGCCCTTATGGGCAACTCTCCCTCAAAATCAGGTTCATTTACTTGATTAAGCCATTGTAAATTAAAATAAAAATCTGGGTAAATTAATAGGGCAGGAGGGAAATTGGGGTGAACGGCATCAAATAAGGATTCTATTTGCCGAATAAAATAATCGCGATATATAGTTAAATAATGGGCAGGATCTCCTTGGGCATGATCTGAGGTGCTATATGAATGGCGTATGTACCCCCCATTGAAATTATTGATCACTTCAAGCACTTCGGGTTGAGGAGGAAGCAAAACATCTACCTGCTGCTTTTCCTGAGGTGGTGGTGGAGAATTGGCAATAGGCTGGCTGACTTCCATGTCTGAATCTGCTTCCCAAACCAGATGCAGGGAATCGTCATCATCACCCTCTAGAAGGCTATCTTGAGGTTATCTTGAGATGATTTCGGGGCTTTAGTGTCCCCGCGGCCCGGTCCTCGACCAGACCTCCACCCCCAGGAGGGGGTGGAGGCCCGTGACAGCTGACTAACACCCAGGTACCTATTTTACTGCTAGGTAACAGGGGCATAGGGTGAAAGAAACTCTGCCCATTGTTTCTCGCCGGCGCCTGGGATCGAACCCAGGACCACAGGATCACAAGTACAGTGTGCTGTCCGCTCGGCCGACCGGCTCCTAGAATAAAAAGAATTGTGATTTTAATAAATAATATAAATTAAATATTGGAATGTTTATAAAATATATAACGCAAGGTTATGGGAATAATCATTGTGGATGATACACGCGATTTGGAATGTTCCTGCTACTATCATCTAATGGCGGTGCTAGGCTCTCCTCCTCCTCCTCCGCGAGGATATTCCTCCACTATCTGCCCAACTGGCGATCCTTATATATATATATATATATATATATATATATATATATATATATATATATATATATATATATATATATATATATATATATATATATATATATATATATATATATACACACCTATAAAATAGAAAATGCTAATGTCAATATCGCAACTGTCAAATAATGGGGAAGTAGTAGAAAATAAGAGACTCACTTTTTTTAAATTGTGCACGTTGAGGTGGAGAAGCTTCTAGATCCTCAGTACCTGAACTGGTTGAAGACTCAGTGTCCTCCGCCAAATACAGACAAAATGAACATGATTCCGGAATATATCCTGCAGATAAAAACAAAAATAAATTTTGATAGAAACTTCTATATGGTGCATGTGAATAAAACAATCACCGATATCGCTAGCAAGTAAATTTCGCAGGTAATAATAATAATAATAATAATAATGATGATAATAATACTTACGGTTGGCACAAAATACTTTGGAGCAGGCGGCGCAGATTTTGTCATACTGCCCGAGAGGTATATCTTCACACTGGGGACAGGTTATAACACATTCACGACGCGAGTTCGCCGTATATGAAATTTGACACACTTCACACTTAATCTTACACAGATGCAATTTCCCCTGCTTTGGGTTATTGCAGAAAGGACAAGTTTCCATGATTGCGTATCGCTGTTGAATAATGCAGAGGTTTGGTGAAATGTCCAGGAGCGATGCTGGCTTTCTTGTGCTAGCTATGAGGGCTGGAGTTGTACTGACCCATTGACTGGGGATTTGCTGTCAGGTCAGCTTACCTGTCATGCTGCCAGACGTACGATTCTGCTCAAATTGTGGTACGATATTTGGGTTGCTATTATAGTTTTGAACTTATCACTGAATAATGATTACAGTTGTGAATGGCTAAAAATGTAAATTCTTAAACCTCTGATTAGGTTAGGTGGGGGGATGGTTAGTCTAGCCATTTTTGAATAATAACATCTTATACAGAACATATGCTGCATGTTAAGACCGCATTGGCCATCTGGTGACGTCATACATAGTTGACCAGTCAGGTGCTGTGATACATTAACACATATATGCTAATGGCCAGCAATACATTATCCCTATACTGAGGTCGCTTTTCGTGATGTCTCTAAACAACATCAACTGGTCTGTAGAATGTATTTGTTTGTTATATAATAAGTTAGGTTAGGATGGTTTGATAGGGTTTATGAAATGAATAACAGAAAATAGGAGCAAAGAGCGAAAATACAAGCAAAGGTAACTGAATATAGTCTCTGGTGAAGCACAGAGTACAGGTAAGGTATTGGGAGTGATTAAGATTTTGCACTTATGTGTGAACCTCCTAGGGTTCACGTTTAGCACGTTGGCGCCTCGCACCGCATTAGGGATGATGACGTCAGAAAAGAAGGTAACTGCAGAAGGCCTTATTTCAAAACATGAGAGGCTTGCTTTTACTCACTGTAGTCCATATATATGTACACTGAATGTGTATTTTGATTTGTTATATGCTACAGTAAGGTGTGGGAGGCATGTTTTGAGCGAATGTGAGACGTGCATATATATTTATGCACGTGCATATATATTTATGCACGTGCATATATATATATTCATGTGTTTATGCAGCAATATTGGATTACTACTGAAGTTGCATTGAAGTCACCATGCTTGGCAGGGGACTGTTTTCATACAAATGGATGACAGTGGGTTTTCATTTTTATTTGCCCTATGCTCAATAAGCAATCCTTGAAGACAGATTGACAAAGCTTAAATTGCATTATCTACAAAGGTGAAGAAGAAATAGGGGAAACATGGCAAAAGAGATATAAATGGGCTATTAATACTATAAACATAAAACAATGGGCATAAATTGGAAATAAGTTTTAGATTTAGGAAAATGACCTGGGTAAATACTGGTTCTGTAACAGGGTTGAACAAATACATATAACTTCTTGCAGTGCTGCTCCCCTTTGTTTCATATGAATGGATTTCATTCCTATGCTCAATACACGATCCTTGGCCAGACATGATATTTCAGTAAACTGACTTATTCAGGGAAGATGAAGACTGGCCATGGGTCACTGGGGCAACAGAATTTGGGTACGCCAGAAGCCAGCCTTTTAATCCTACCCCCAGGCAAATTGAAGTCTGGCTGGCAGATGACGTCATTGCCCATTGGCCATGCCTGTGCATGGGCCACTGGGGTAACGAAATTTGGGTACGCCAGGGACCGGCATATTAATCCCCTTGAACGAAATTTTCAGGGGCGAGGAGAATCTCACGGAGGTAACGAAAAATACATGGGCCAAAGACGTGCATGCTGAAAAAAGCTTGCAAAACCCAGGGGCCAAAGACGTGCATGCTGAAAAAAGTTCGTAAAATCCAGGTGGACAAAGACTCGCATGCTGAAAAAAGTTCGTAAAACCCAGGGCTAAAGACGTGCATGGGAAAAAAAAACTAAATTGCACGTCAATGACGTACTTTGTTCGTAAAACCCAGTACGCCAATGACGTGCATGGGAAAAAAAACTAAATTGCACGTCATTGGCGTACTTTGTTCGTAAAACCCAGTACGCCAATGACGTGCATGGGAAAAAAACAAAATTGCACGTCATTGGCGTACTTTGTTCGTAAAACCCAGTACGCCAATGACGTGCATGGGAAAAAAACAAAATTGCACGTCATTGGCGTACTTTACACTACTCACTTGGCCACTTTCCTGGGACAGCCTGGGGCCACATCTTGTCGACGCATGAGGAGCAAGTTAAGTGTTGACAGCTAGAGTGGTAGTGACCTGGGAAATGAGTAAAAATGAGGAGGTTAGACGTAAGTAAAATTTATCATTGTGTACAGTGTGATGAGTACCGGTGGAAATTCCCGGTAAGAGTTGTCTCAGAGCCTCACCAGGCTAGGGAACCAGCTGAGAGACAGCTGTCTGTAGCACGTCCAGGTGACTGGTAGGGCAGTACCTGGAGATAGATGTTGTACACGACCACACTGTAGTATCATGATATATATGTGTGTGTAGACTGACTCGAGTATGTAACCGGTCAGTGTAAAGATTTACCATATAAGTGATCCAGCCTGTCGATTCTATATAATCGTTCAGACTGGATTAATGCCAAAGAGTACTGTATATAATTGTATCATTAGAGGTAGGCAGGCCAGGTTGCAGGGATATCAGTGGGTACCCCTGAGATCTGTGTAGTTAGTTACATTTACCTGATGATATAATTTTCATTGATTATGTGAATGCCATTTCTATGTGTTCATTTGCATGCTTTATGTACTGTGTTGTGTGGTAAGTCAGTAGATGTGATTATTGACTGATTGCCTAATGATGTCATTAGCATGTAGGGTATGCTGACGGCATCATTATGTTGCAGGTTTGTGCAGTATTGTTATCAGTTTATACGGTATTGCTGCCCTAGGAGCTGTGTTGAGGGTTTAAGGGACCTCTAGGATTATTCAGGGGAATTCACAGTGCTTAATGAGAGCAGGCAATTGATGGGTTAATTGCTTTGCTGAGGTAAGAGTGTGTTCACAGTAGTCCTTTGCAACGGTTGCAAGATAAGGGGGGCAGTAATATTGGTATACTCTTGTGTGTTGCACAACCGTGTGTCATTATTGTGTGGGCACAGTAATTAACGAGTTGCAGTAGCCGCAACCGTATGTGGGCAGTGCATTTGTGTTGTTGCATGCCATTGTAGTGTGACCTATGTAACACTGGGGTTACTTTGTTTCTTTAAGTTGTGTTGAGGACTTAAGGATTCAGTGAGTTAATAATTGGGGAATTAACTGGATAAGGGGTGCACACTTATTGTGGAGTGAGTGAGGGCTGTTATGAGAGAGAACAGCGTTGAGCTTGAGTGAGATACGTCTCGGGAGCAATTAATTGTCCGTGTGACAACTAATTGACCACTCTAGCTAATTATGTAATTAGCCTTCTCATCATGAATTCACGTAGTGGGAGAGGATCTGTCAGAGTCTGTCAGTATTTGTGTTAACGTAATTTGCTCGAGACTAATTACCTTTCTGGGGTATAGCAATTAGTGGCTCATGTTAATTAGTGGAGTAATTAACATTGGAGAGCTCTGATGACCCGGTAAAGCGAGGTCATGGAGCTAGCATAAATCGTTGTATTAATCATATCCTGTCTGAGGACAGTGGATTAGTGGCACATCTTGTTAATTAGGGGTAATTAACTCCTTTCCCGTGAATTCACAGTGTTTGATGAGACCTGCTTAGGCAGTGCGGAGTGAGACGTATTTATGGATGATTAATTATCGGTCCTGGTGACAGTTAATTAATTACTCGGAGCTAATTAGGGTAATTAACACTCACTAGTAATTTTTTGACACAGACTGTTGAGAAGCTACCAAGTTAGGATAGGCTTAGTTAACGTAACTCAATGGGGTTCTAATTAGTGGTCCGTTTGACCTTAATTGAGGATTACTCACTGAATACTTGCTAGGAGTCAAGGGTGATGTAATATAAGTTTGAGTTACTGTTAACAAGAGAGACAAGTGTTAATGATTAACGTAGAGTATCATCATGATGTTGTCTAGTGTGAGACAATTGTTTGTGATTACCGTAGTACTTTGTTGCTGACTGCTGCGATCAGTCAATTAACGTAATTAATCACTTAAGGCAATTTCTTTTGGTTGTCGTCTGGTGACGAGAGTAGAGTAATCTAGGGAATTGTGGAGCTGTGTCCCAGAATCCCGCCTTGCCTGTCTTTGTTACTAATTACAGGGCAACTTCTTGTAGGGAGTTGCAAAGAGTGTTTACACAGGGTTGTGATAGGGGGGGGGCTCACTGTTGGACTACCCGACTAGTTATGTGGGTCTCTCCTGGAGGGGCGGGAGGACCCCTAAGCTTGTGATTATAGTAGCTGTCAGGGAAACCGAGACACTATTGATTGCATGCTTGTGTCTTCAGTGGATATCCTTCATTTGTTCAGTTAGTTCATGTTGTCAGCCCGAAGTGTCAGCAAGATGGAGCATGCTGTCACTTCTCGAGGGGCTGTTGAATAGCTGTGTTGCAAATGCCACTTGATGGACAATAACGTAACCATTCGCTGTGGTGTAACTTAGTCTGTGATATTTTTCTTTGATTTGCAATATTGCGTCATCAGTGGGCACACCTGTGTTCAGGTTAGTTCAGTATGCAGCCTCACAGCAAGGGTTGCTATTTAGCTGTTTGTTATCGTGCCACTGGATGGACATTAACGTAACGTAAACTCGGTTATGTAGTAGTTAGTCTCTTGTTATTAATAAATTGTTATGTTATAGAAAACGTTCTTTGATGTCAACCCTTCAACCATATTATTCCACCATATTTCTGCATATTACGATTAAATGTTGATGTGATCTTGAAATGACGGCTGTTCTTGGGAATTCGAATTCCAATTCATAGCGCCACATCAAATATAAATATTTGATTGTGAGAACCCGTCGGTTACCCTTTACTAGTTTTAACGTCCTGTTTAACTAGGAGGAGCCAGCGGCCTATTGTGGACAGGTTTTCACCCCTGGTGATGGAGGCCTGGCGGTTTGCTCCCGCTTTTCCTTTTTCTATTGGACTCATGCTTAACTGCCGTGAGCAGCCTTTAAACTTGTAGTCCACCTCCTAAGGGAGGTAGGCGTAGAAAAAAATCTC